TTCCATCCCTGCCTGTTTGGAGAACAAAAGATACTTTAAGCAGATTGGTTAATCTTTTCAACTCTGCAAAACAGTTACAGCTGCTTAGCTAATAAACTTCATTAACAAATCCCAGTCTCTCTCCCCTGCCCTAAATTAATTTTTTTAAAATGCCACGAACTTCTCCTTTGCAACTATTCTCAACTACAAAAGAATAATCACCAGTACCAAAATTCCTGTGTAGTCTGTACAAAACTTTAATTTAAAAGACTAAGTAATACCTATTCAGTCTACATACAGAGGGAAAATTTCAATTAGTGCCTTGAACTTATGAAACAGAAAATGTCAAGTACTACAGTGTGACAAGGTTAAAAAAAGTTTATTATTACTTGTCTCAGTTATTTTCAAATAAACATGTTAGAGCTTTATAAAATGGTTTTCAAGCTCAGTATATGTTGACTCTGCTGTGATTACTTCCTTATGGTAAGAGGACTTTCTGTATAAAATACTTCCTCAATGACTTTGCTCCCACAGCATAAAACCTAAAATCATCACAAACAGCTTCCATTTTAAAATTTAGAATAGAAAACAAAAAAGCAAGTCATTGCAATAGACACATATGAACAAGTTTTTGGCATCAGAATTATTCTGAGGTCAAAATTAAAGGACTCAAAGCCCAGGGCTTTTTCCAGTGATGGCTACATAGCCCACTACACAAAACTCCTCCTTCTGGCCACAGAGATCACAGAATTGTAGAATGGTTTGGGTTGGAAGGGACCTTCAAGACCATTTAGTTTCAAACTCTATTACCACAGGCAGAGACGCCACCTACTCAGGGCCCCAGCCAACTTGGCCTTGAACACTCCAGGGATGGGACACCCATGACTTGTCTGGCCAACCTGTTTCAATGCCTCACCACCCTCAGAGAAGAGAATTTATTCCTAATATCTAATCCAAACCTACCTTCTTTCACTTTTAAGTCATTATCCCTTGTCCTATCACTGTAGAAAGCTGCTCTCCAGTTTTCTAGTAGGCTCCCTTCAGGTACTGAAATGTGGCAATAAAGTCACCCTGTTGCCTTCTCTTCTCCAAGCAACTCGGATTCATTTTTCTAACTGTGTGGCTCTCATCAATGTCAAAAGTAAATATGCAACATCAACTCTCTCAACCTTTCCTCACAGAAGAGGCCTCATAGATGGCCCTCCTCTGGACTCACTCCAACAGCTCCATGTACTTTTCATGCTCAGGAAGCCGGACGCAGTACTCCAGAAGAGTGGAGGAGAAGAGCAGAATCACCTCCCTTGACCTGTCAGCCACGCTGCATTTGATCCAGCTCAGGACACTGCTGGCTTTATGGGCTGCAAGTGCACATTGCACATCCAGTCTCTCACCCACCAGCACCCCCAAGTCCTTCTCAGCAGGGCTGCCTTTGATCTGTTCATCCCCCAGTCTGTAGTGATACTAGGGATTGCCCTGACCTGGGTGCAGAACCTTGCTGTTCACCTTGCTAAACCTCATCAGGTTCCCATTTCTTGAGCTTGTCCAGGTCCCTCTGGATGGCACCCCAATCTTCAGGTGTGTCAACTGCACCACTCAGCCTGCTGTCATCTGAAACTTTGCCGAGGGTGCACTTGATCCATTTGAGTCACTGGTGAAGATATTAAATATCACTGGTCCTAGCAAGGACTCCTGAAGGACATAATTTGTCACTGATGTCCATTGGGACTCTGAGCCATTGACCCTCTGGATGCAGGAATCCAATGACTTCCTTACCCATCTAACAGTCCATTCACCAAGTCCATCTCCCTTTAACTTAAGAGAGGAGGATGTTGTGGGAGACCATGTCAAAGGCTTTACAAAAGTCCAGATAAATGACACCTGTAGACCTTCCCTTGTTCATCAGAGTTACTCCATCAAAGAAAACCACTATGTCAGGCAGAACTTGCCCTTGGTGAAGCCATGATGTGCCCTAGCATAGATTCCAGAAGGATCTGTTCCATGATCTTCCCTGGCAGAAAAGTGAGGCTGACAGGTCAGTAGTTCTCCAGGACACAGTGTTTCCCTTTTCCCAGTCCACTGGGACTTCACCTGACTGCCATGACTTTTCCAGTATCATGGAGAGTGGCTTGGCAACTACATCAGCTAATTCCCTCAGGACTCTGTGATGCATCTCATCGAGTCCCATGGACTTATGTGGAATGAGGCTCCTCAGGTGGTCATGAATCTAATCTTCACTTACAGTGGGAGGGATTTTGCTCTCCCAGTCCCCATTCTGCTGTTTGTTCACTTCAGAAGTGTGGAAAGAGGTCACCGTTGACAACTGAGGCAAAGAGCTGAGTATCTCAGCCACCTCCTCATCTGTTGTTAACAGTCTGGCAGCCTTCCTCATCAGGAGGATACACACTTTCTTTGACCTTCCTTGTCTGGCGGACATACCTACACAAGCCCTTCTTGTTATTTCTTTGTATCCCTTGCCAAGTTCAGTTCCAGCTTAGACTTGACCTACCTCATCCCATCCCAACACAACTGGAGACATCACCACGTGTATATAACAAACTTAATATGCAGGAATCTAACACATATGTAGTAACAGTAAAGAAAGATGCTGCTTGCATAATAACAAATCAAGAAAGTGATAACTGCCATTACTGGTACAACATGGTCCTTCCACTGTCACCAGTCCCAACCAGCAACAGTGAATATTCAGGTTTATAGACAGCAGAAATTCTGCATAGCTTCTAATCCTCCAGTTACTCTTTGCTCAGGAACACTCCTAAAACTAGGTTCTCTTTTTAATTAGATACATTAGAAATCTTTTACACTTATTCATCCTGTTCCACTCTGAAATCAGTGCAAGTCAGTATCTGAGGTAAGAGTTTTAAAGATCTGTACTTGACACATTCATTTTTGTCATCTTTAGCATGACTCCTGCCTTCATTTAACGTCCAAAGGGTTCGAAAAATCAGTAAGCACTCACCACATCTTCACTAGTTCCATGTTTCTCATGATCATGAAGGTCCCTCTCACATTCATCATTAGACATTCTTTCAGGGCTGGACAGTCCCAGCCTACTTGGCTGCTGCTGACCCACAGTTACTATCACTTTTGTGGCCCTTCCCTGAATCTTCCCCTGAACCTTTCAAAAGGTCCAACATATGCTTTTTTGAGAAGAGGGACTGGAACTATTCCCAATATTGAAGGTGTGCACAAATCATTAAGCCCGTAACGATCTTGTTTTGCTCTCCTTTCTCAATTATTTCCAACTGCCACTGAGTTCAGGGTTTCATGAAACAACAATCCCATTGACTGTAAGGGACATTTCCATGCCCAGCAGTAAACATGTGAAGCTAACATCTCAGAATATCTTATCATCACAGATCACTCTTATTCAGTCCTTGTCCAGATACAGCCTGACACACGACAGGAGATACCTGCTGTGGTATGACCAGCCACAAACAGAATGATTAAAAACTCACAGCTATTAGGTGTGCATTTTCTTATATCCATATACTATAGCAGCAGATCTATTACTATTAATAATATTTATTTTTCTTCTAAGGAATAGATTTACCTTCATTTTTCCACTGTATTTCGGATCTGAAATTGTTTCAAAAGCTGCATCTTTGCTTAACTGCACAAAATCTGGAAAACTGGAAAATACCTGGCTGCAAACACGTTTGATATGTGCTTCCTGGAAGAAAAGCAAAAAGATTGAATAGCATAAAAAATTAGAGCTATATTGGGATACCAGTAAGCCACATAAAGAGTTCAACAGGTTGAAACAAGAGATCTGCTGAAGTGTCTCAAGAAGAGCTATATCTTTTTTCGTTCATTTTGCTACAGAAATGCTGGATAAAACTCTTACTGTGAAGAATAACACATGCAATGGACTTCACTACTATAGGTAAGAAGTACGACAAAATACCAGTTTCTTCAGTAGATTTTGAAGAGGTTAATAATTATGCATTACATAAAAGACAGTAAGTCACAAAATACTCATTATTTCATAGGTTATTCAATCTTCAAATCTTATTACCACAATACCTACTTATGCAACACACAAAAAATAACACTGAAAACATTTGGGTATTTATTGCATATAAAGGTCCCAGACAGAGAGAGTAATACTTCCTAAAAAGCAAAACTTGCAGAATTAGCTAGGATATTCTCATTTCCATCCCTCGCTGGCTTCTGAGAGGAAGTGGTAACATCACTAAATCCCTTTGCTCATTCTTCAATCTTAAGCATCTCAAACAAGCATTTCTAAAAACTCTGCTATTTGTGGGTCTTGTAGGTGACTTCCCACAGTAACAAGATAAACTGATGGTGATGTCTCCTTGAGCATTTTCTTCTAAAACATGATTTAATTATTTAAACAAGCTCAGATCTTAACATAAAGCGCTTGAGAAAAAAACCAACATTCTAACAGCCTATTATTCATCTGTTTGCACAAAGCCTCTTACTAGGCACTCATGATAAATGTAGCAGAAATGGCACTGCTAGAAATCATTAAAAATTGCTCTCCCTCCTAAACTTCTCCAGTGTTTCTATAACCACTATTTTCAGGTATGCATCAACTAAATGAACATGCTGTTGTATAACATCTGTATAAGGTTTGCATTCTGAATGCTGCAAAATATCTTAATTGTGGTTAATTGAGGCCATTAGCAGTTTTGTTCAAGAGTTTTCACCCTATTTTCCACACATCCATTTGTAGATACTCCTGTAACTAACCTGTTGCTTGCTAGTGTTGTCTGTCTGCAGCAGTGCAGCATGATTTGCAACCTTCTGAAGAATTGTTAGGTAACTGAAGCGCAGCGACTTAATTGTTTCACCATGTGCGTTTACCTACAATAAAAAAAGGTTTATGCAAACAAATACTCCTGAAAATAAGTAATAATCTAAAATAAATGCTTTTCTTACCAAATTTAATGCACTAGCAATTGCAGTACTATGATTGATACCAAATTTCCAATATATTGCAATAAAAGTATTTCTAACAAAAATGATGCGAGTTTGGGTTTCTCCTCAAATTTGTGATCCTGTTAATAGAAACATCTTCTCAAACAGAAAAAACCTACAGCCGTGTTCATAGTTTGCTAAACATTTCAGTGTGATATCTACAGAAATTAAGATAACCAGGAACTCCTCTGTAAAGAAAAAGATAGTAACTTTACAACTGATTTAAATGTAAATCAAGCCAGAGATGTTAGAAGGACTTCTTACCCTACAGCTGCTAACTCTACTTTACAGCAAAAATGTATAATCTAAAATAACATATTCAAGCTTCAAATCTCTACAACGCAGCAGCAGCTACAGCATCAGCTATTTTTCTAGTTATGGTTCGCTGATTCAATCAATACTTGTTTTCCTTTCCCTTTACACATTACTAAAATTTACAGTTAACTTTGGAATAAGACAGTCCATTAGAGCACTTAACCATCTGCAGGCATGACTACTGTCCTTTGTGAGTAAATTCTAAAGCATTTGACTTCTTCTGCAAAACATCGCAAGAAATAAAAGCCTGCAAAGAAGTTTAGGATCCATGGGATATTAAACAGGCTGATAGGGGGATTGTTCATAAATAAAGATGCAGGAGACTACATGATTTGGAATAAAAACAAACCCCAAACTATACAAGAACCAAAACAGGTCAGAACGAAAACAGGAAGAGGCAAGTATGATACATATGCTTCTAACTGTTTAAAAGATGTGCTTGATCTGAGCCTACTGAGTGATGTGGGCAGAACATATAAAGCTAGACCAATCCAGTGTTAAAGAAGTCCAGAAAAGACTGAAGAAATCTACAAAACTGTTACTAGTGGACAAAGTCCTGCTTGTGCTCTGTGGCTGCTTTGCAAAGCCAAGCACATGTTTAGTGGCACAGAAAGGCACAATCCAACTGCAGTCAGAACACAAGCAAAGCTGAGACAACCTGCTGAGCCCAGGATCCCTCCCACTTGCAGCACATGGGAGCAGCATGCCTGACACATATTGAACACCCCAATGCAGTACCCAGGCCAATATCAACTGTATCACAGGTGCATTTATTAATACAACAGATCCAGAATTTACTGCATGAACAACAACCAACTGCTCAGGGCAGGCAAAGCAGCTCAGCAGTAATCCCAAAGTGCCTGACTCCATCATTCCTGTGATGCAGCCACCCATGTTTCCAGTTGGGATTTCCCAAACTCATGGCCTACAACCAGGCAGACATTTCAATCAGCTCTTCATCAGCAGCGAGTCTCCCACGAAATCCTGAAGTCTCTGCACTAAAATCCAAAGGGCACAAGTTCTTACTTTGTAACAACAGTTCTTCCTTTTGCGGCCACTGTTGCAGCTACAAGGCTCTCCTGCTCGCAACACTAAAGTTACATCATCTGTCTCCAGCACAGCCTGGTACACTGCTTTCTGGAATTCGGTCAGGGAACAATACACCATCTGCCAAAGAGAAAACCCAAGAAACACTATTATGCGCAGTATACAATGAAAAGCAAAAAAGCACAGCATCAAAAAATACAAATCACAGATCACTGAAAATAAAGTGGAAATAAGTAATATACTTGTTCAAATATTTAAAGGAAATAATTCTACCACCAAATGAAAAAATATGAATCTTGACACCAAAAGAACATGGAATTGTAGCCAAAATGTCTCTATACTTATTCTATCCTGTCCCACAATTCTACGAAGAGTAGCAATGTCAGGCTACAAGAACCTGCTGTTATGTTTCTCAAAACCTTTCAGTATGGCTTTTGTGGAGGAATAGGAGAAGGAAGAAAAAGTGAGATAAATAAACTTGTAATTTTAATTACAGATTTCCCCTTTGCTTTGCAAGTGCTTAATTTGCCATTTCTTTCCTCTTTTTAGACACTAGCTGTTGTAGGGCAGCAGGACAAACAGAATAAGTAATGAGAAGGCAAGGATCGACACTGCTATGGCCAAAGCCCTGATCCCTCTTCTTAGAGACCATGGGTGGCATCTCCATGACATCTTTAGTCTTAAGCAGCAGGAGACAGAAATCCCAAGATCATTCCTTAACCTAGGCTACCCACACAGCAGCAGCACCATGCTGAGCTATAATAATACAGCGGAAACTTGAACATATACTCACATTAACAAGATAATGAAAAGAATAAAACCTGCTAGATTTAGAAAAGCGACTGACTGATGTTTGTGTTAATCTTTCCTTCAGAAGACAGTTTAGATGACATTATTATAAACTAAAGATGAAGAATAAATACCAAATTTTGAAAATAAAACCAGCTGCAAACTTTTGCATTTGTCTAATTCAAAGGAAAAATTTATCAGAACTCTTAGCTATAGTCAACGTATTATCACTTCATATAATGTTTACAATTGCATCAGATGAACAGGATTACAGACCTATTATAGAATCAGATTTAGATTTGAGGTTTTCCTTTTATTTATTGATCGAAAATGATGGAGTTAAAAGCACACTGTTCCATGCACAAAGTGTCAAGCTGCAAATTCAGAAGTCCTACATAGAATTTCAAGATATTTACATACATTGCTTCGAGTTTGCACAGATTATATAAAAAACCACACATAAAACAGATGTGTAAATCACTAGTCAGAAGTCTAGCTGAGCATTTTCATGCTTGATTAACTCCATTTCAACATGCAATCATAGTAATTACGTGAACAAAGCACGCTATTCCAAGTGCATTTTTTCCAAGGCTATGGATTCTTCTTAAGTTCTTAAGATGAAGAGAAACCATAAACTACTATAGACATGATGAAAGAGAGAAAATATAACAAGAAAACAAGAAGCAGAGATGTGTTCATTAGCATTGTATTTGAAATATGAAGGCACTCTTACTCTGTCTTCCTTTTTTGGCAGCTGATCACTGATAAGTGCTTTGGTACGTCTCAGAAACCAGCCAGACATTTTTCTTGCTAGCTTCACCATGGCCTTACGACCTGTTGCCAGCTCTCTTTTAGTTGCAGTGTGCCTCTGGCCATGCTCCACTGGATCAGAAAATGTCTTCTTGAAGTGTACTCTGCTGCCTAAAAGTCCTGGTACAGCCCTATTAAAACACAAAAGAGGGTTGGGGGTAGCTGAAGGAATAACAGCATTTTCTTTACTCCAAGGCAGTTTATCCTTTTCCAATGATTCAAAGCATACCATGCTTTTTTTTTCTGGTTGACAGCAAGAGATCTGAAATTAATGATCGCTAGAGAAATTAATAAAAATTGTGTGTACAAATAGGAACATATACTACTTCCAGACACACCATTTTTCATTTGCTTTCTGTCACTCTCAAATGCTAGTCACTCTTAGAAAAAGGTTTGCAATCTCCAGAAAAACAAAAGCTTAGCAGACCAACAGAAGCCACAAGTATACAGAACCTCTAAACTACAAGGTTGCTAATTTGTTAGGAAATGCAATCATAGGACAAGGGGTAATGGGTTTAAATTGAAGGAGGGAAAGTTTAGGTTAGATATTAGAAAAAAGTTTTGACTGTCAGGGTGGTGAGACACTGGCACAGGTTGCCCAGGGATGTGGTGGCTGCCCTGACCCTGGCGATGCTCAAAGCCAGGCTGGATAAGGCCTTGAGCAACCTGATCTAGTGAGGAGGTGTCCCTGCCCATGGCCGAGAGGGTTGGGACTTGATGATCTGTAAGGTCCATTCCAACCTTTAAATTCTATGATTCTATGACTCTACTGGTCAGGAGCCTCAATGGGAAGCTAAACAGTCATGTTTTCAATTTTTACTGTTTTCATGAAATCAGGTTATGCAGATATTATAATTGACTAAATAAAATATTGAGAAACCCAATAGTAAAAATAATCGTTGGCAGTACTACATATTGGAACAATCTATTAACAACATCAGCATAACTTTAATGGACCAGATGCAACACTAAGCTTAATGTATTTTTTCCTGCTATTTCTACGCTGTATATCCTTGCATTCAAGGTATGTTTGCTTTGTTCCTTCTCTGTAAAGCATTCCCAGTAAGTCTTCTATGTTAAGATTTATATCTACAGTTAGTTCCACCTCTCCCTTGTCATTAGAAGTTTCACAAACATGTGCACTTGTGCATTTTGAAAAGCAGCAAAACATAATTACTTTCAATCTCCAAGCAGGTCAGAATGACCTGCACATATTAGACAGAGCAAAGGCACAATGTTATTTGTGTAATGGTTCTCTATCCACCAGGAAAAGGAAAGTTGAAAAAAAAGTGTCTCCTTAATTTTTTAAAAAAAAGTGAACATGGAGGGGGGGGAGGGAAGGAGAATCATTTTAACTGCTTAACAGATTCTCCAAAGAAGCCAGATAGAAGATGCTCCAGATGTATTAAATAACTGCAAAATTCATACCAGGAACTTACCTTCACAGGTGCAACACAAAAACATCGTTACAGTCTCAAAAAACATCAAGGGTTTTGAGGGGGAGTGTTGTGGTTTGTTGTTTTTATCACACAGATGGGTCTGTATCATCCAGTTCTACCCCAGTCTCACTGCATGGTTAACATACAGAGGCATTGAACCATAAAAAAGAAATAATTTTATTTACCAGTCCATAACACACCAAAGTTCCTTCATATTGTTTTGAAGAATGGTTCCAGTGAGACCTATGCGAACATTGCATTTTAATGACTTCATGGTTTGCGTTATTTGAGCTTTTGGATTCTTGATTCTGTGTGCTTCATCCACGATCACAGCAGACCATTCTACACTGCAGATCAAATAGGCATTTTATTAACTGATGTTACTTATCTTGTCATCCCACATACACACAAAAAGTGGAATGTTCACCCACACAAGTACCTGTTATTGTTATAACACACTATTACTTCCCGATATTCCCTTTTCACACAGTATTATACTATTCAGTTTTTTTATATTCTGTTTGTTTATTAAATTAAATTGCCATAGTTGAATACAATGGCTAAACTACATAGTGAAATAAATGAACTACTGTTAACTGTATGAAATGCTTGCTGTGAAGAAAGCAGCTTTCAGTCTCTGGAGCAATCAATCCAGCACATCTCACCAACACTAACTCCACTCATAATTAAGATTTTAAAGAAAATAAATACTGGAGGCAATTACTCTGGATGTAAACTACTGAAACACATTTAACATAAGTATGCTTCATTTTCTCAACAAAAACTACCCGGTGCAACTTGTAGTGGACTGAAAACACTGCATGGTTTTCTACAAGGAAGCATCACTCAAAAATATCTATGCAATACCAGTAAGGCAGAAGAATTTTAGTATTTTGTGATTTTGCAACAAGAAGAACAGATCTAGAAGCAGGGACCAACAGGTATTTGGCAGCCAGTTTAAGCATAAAACTTAAGGCTAGAATGATCTGTATACTGTGATACTAATTGAAACCATTGAGTGGTTTGAGAGGATTTATTAATTTTATGAGTTCCCTTTCTGTATATGAATGAATATTTCAGAACACAATCACACCCAGTTTGGTGATACTTCAAACCACAAAAATCTGAACTGGACATGTTTAGCTTGCTCATGAGAGAAGCTTTCTACTAATCTGAAGGCATTTTTGATACCCACTAACTACATTCATTCATATCGGAGTTCTTTACATTCCTAAAATCTGCTAAAAAAAGGAGTTTCTGAAAGGAACCTAACACATGTCCATATACTAGCTCCTTCCTTGTAATCTCTCATTATGCTGACTTACATGCATAACTGAGCACATGTATTCTTACCAGTGATAGCTAATTATTTAATATCAGTTTTTGAGGCCAATCCACCACTGCAGCTAAGCAAGACACATAGTTTCTTTCATTCTCAAGACCACAGGTCCATCCAGTCCCATTCTTTGCAGAAAGAGTTTGGTAAATCTGTATGCTAAAGCAATGTATTTGCAGGCAGTCACACATCAGATCTGCTCTGCACATGCATCAATTTCCTGACCACTGTCTATTCCATCATCAAACCTGAAGAGCTCCTCAGAAGGACAACACAAAGTTAGGGTACTGCTAACAAAACTACTTCAGTCTTCTACCTGCACTTCCTTCTCAGACCTGAGCACAGAGATGAAGATCTGATTGTTTCGGTGATGCCTGTCCAGACCACCAAGGCACTCTCTGGAGGCAAGACCTTTCCTTATACCTGAAAGGACAAGATCTGCAGATACACTGACATCATCAGCTGCTGAGGCAGGCTGCTACTACCAGCTATTAATATAACTTTTACACACCCTACTTCTGACATGACATAAGGAAAAATGACCTCTAGGATCAGATGAGAGGATAGCTGAACCCAGCCAAAGGAAAGGCAAGACTCCTAGCCTGAAAATGTTGACAGCTGTGGAGCAAGTAAAGCAGGATTTCTAATTCAATCTGCTGTCAGAAAGAATTTGATTCTGTTAAGTCCATCAGGTATTTGAAACTATACACACATAGACATCCACCTTACACCTCAGAGTTTTTAGGGCTCAAGAATTTCATCAAGCTGGTGAAAAGGGCATATAACAAGGAAAATACCTTATGAACACTTGCAAAAAATTCCAGGCTTTTGTGATGCTTACACCATACTGAAATATAGAAATCTTCTATGTATCTTTTAGCTGCCATGTGTTTGCAGGTGGGTGATTCCTGCATCTTTTGGAGAACTGCAAAGTGGGTTAAAAGCAGAGACTAGCTCTATGGAAACTATTCAAATGCTTACTGCATGAGGTCTCCCACTACAAGCATAGTACAAGGTAAACTGGCCAAAGATAGTTGACTGAGATTCTACTCTTCAGCACAGTGAGTCACTGGATTTAACAGTAAATACATTACATGCAAAAAGTACTGGTAAAGAACAATGCATAATTAGATAGCTAAAATTCTGTGCATAGAAGAAAAAATTAAAACTATTACCTGTTAAATTCATCCAAATACAGGCGAAGTACCTCATATGTTGTAAGAGCAACTTCATATTTCCCTTGCTTGATGCGACTCATGTCATCATCTTTTTTACTGCCATGTAAGACACAGACCTTAAAGTATCCCCATGTGTCTAACTCATCCTTCCAGTTATACAGCACTGACAGAGGGGCCACGATGAGGAAAGTCTGAAAACAAGTATATATTATATTATTACTGTAAAAACTACAACATAGCACTAAAAGGAGTCAAAATCTGGAGATTTATTTTACTGCTGTGAACAGTTTGAACTGTTTAATTCTCACGCTTCAAAGCATAGTATGGAAAATACCTGAACAGGTAATATAAACTCAAAACTTGGTTCAGTATGTAAATAGTACAGAAGAAAAATACCAAATAGCACTACTTTGATTATATTCTAGAAACTGCAATAAGACATGAAACATTACTTTGCTATGTTATAGCATCTGTATACCACGTTTTACAGATAGAAAAAACAAAAGGACAAGAGGGTAAGCAGCTTCCTCCAATCCACAAGCCTAGTCATCAATATGACTTCAAAACAGAAAGACCTGAAAAGGGTTTAAAAATTGAAGACACCTTATACAATTCACATAACATCATAGAATAAAAAAGTCAGTGAGGTAGGGAGTGACCTCAGGAAGTTTTCAGTCCAACATGCTAGTCAAGGCAGGGGCAATGCTGAATTCAAACCAGGGTTTACCCAGCCCCACCCAGGTCTTCAAAACCCCACAAGGATGGGTGTGACCACAACCTCTCCGTGATCTATTTCAATATTAACTGTTCTCAAAGTGACATTCTTCTCTGATTCCCAGTTGGAAGCATTCCCTTTTTTTTTGCTCATGAAGTGCTATCCTTTTACCTCTTCCTCTCTGCCTGTATTTCCTGAGGAACATGGATCCATTATTCACAGAGATATAGTCATATGACCCATCATGCCAGTCAAACTCTCTAGTTAGTCCAATGAAATAAAAGTAACAATGGAAAACAGAAATCACATGGTTTCTGTGATGGGTAAAATTAAAATGATCCTTAGATTTGTCTTGTTCACACAGAACTTTTGCATCTATCTTTTATCTGCTGTCACTATATTTGATTATGTAGATTATCAGTCAGATCAACTTGTGACATTACGTAAGTCACAAAATATGTAAGGTCACAAGACTATTAGCCATAGATTTTCCAAATATATGCATTTGCCTTTATTAAATATCCTGTTATTATAGATAGATATGCTTTTACTTTAAAAATACCATCACACAACACTAATTTTCTACTCACTGACCTGGGCCTTTCAAAGTACTCTAGCCACAAACCTCATCCATTTCAAAACGTCCTGTGTTATTGTCCAATCTGTTAGTACTGTTGGTCTGCACTAACAGCTAAATAGTGCACTATGACAGTCTGGAAAACTGAAGGCTTAGCTAACACTACTAGGAAAGCCACAAACCTCTAATCTCCCTCAGTAGCAGAATTTTAAAAATTAATACATAAACTCCCACAGCAAACAAACAAAATCTAAGTACTGCCTTTTACCAAAATCCTTAAGCTTGTATCACTAAAAGTTGTACCTTCTTGGGATTACAATTTGAATCCTTTTTCATTGTTCTCAGTAAAAATTCTGGCATATTATTTTCGATATCTTCACGTGTTCCCTTTTTGTGCAACACTGCAGCCAAAAATGAAATGACCTTGAGAAAGAAAAAAATTCTCAGTGATTATATACAATAAGAAATTGAGTGAGTTCCACTAAAAACAAACATTTAGGACAAAATTGTGGATGGGACTTAGTAAGGTGATTTAGGGAGGGATTGGTTTTTTTGTTTAGGGTTTTTGTTTGTTGGTTTTAAATCAATCTCAGTTGTTAAAATGGGCCCCCCAGTCCCTTGGATTCCCAGGGAAGAGCAATTAGCTGCTCTAAGTGGAAAAGTCCCAAAAATACAGAAGTGACAAAGTATCAGTGAGCCAGGAAACAGATCTGACAAATCTCCTCCTTTTCAGGGCACTTGAATCTTAGGTGAGAAAACAGAAGGAACATATATATACTTGTCAACTACACTCTCAACACTACTTCTGCAAAAAGGAAGAAGTGGCTTAACCTAGAGGTTTGCTTTTTACTCCTATGTCTTTTTCTAAGTACTACATTCCTTCCAATTCCTATTGTTAACATAATTTCCTTCTGTTGTGTTACATTTTCTCATCTGCCTCAAACCAGTAAGTGCCTGGGATTGCTCTGACACAGGTGCAGCAGCTTAGAATTTCACAGAATCAACCGGGTTGGAAGAGACCTTACAGATCAAGTCCAACCCCACCAAGCACTAAGTAACACATCCAGTCTCGTCCTGAAAACCCCCAGGGATGGTGAAT